TTCCTCAAAAGAACTAAGGAGGCAAAGTGAAAATATAGTAACATAAACAATACTGTTTTGGCTTCTATCCCTGATTAAATATACTGGTTTTAATTGAGTAGGTATTAAGCTAATTAGAGTTTTCTTTCATTCTTTTTTTAAGAATTAAGAAAGCATTCCCAGAGTTGGGAAAATAAATCCTATAACTTTATCTTATTATTTCTTTTCTAGAGCCTTTTTTGTTATAAAATCTAAAATAGATTCACTGTTCAGTGGCAATTCTGCGATTATTCTTCACCAGGATTATAATAAAACCAATTTCAAAATATTTCATGGAAGATTTTTTAAAGGAAAAAATTACATATATGCTCCCACAAAAAAAAAAAGAAGAGCATAAGATTTAAGTTTAAGCAGATTTATTCTATAAAAAGGTATATTTTCTAGGAAGATGCAAATTGGTCAATTGACGTTTTCCTCCCAATGTGACTAAGTTTGTAACTTAACGAACACAGACTATCAAAGCCAATTTCCAAGAAATCTTATCAATGTAGTTTGCAGTTTAAATAACAAAGCTTGTTCATGTGGTTTACTTGGTATCAGTAAAAAGATAGTGCATTTACACAACCATGTAATTCCATTGTAATATTCTATCACTTGTTAATCATCTTCATAATTAGTATTAAATTATGTCATAGTTCAGTAAATAGCATTGTCAGAACAGTATCTATCAGAAAACTATGATGTAAAAGCTGAAAAACAGCTTTAACTACCTCTGAATTAAATTCTTGTATTTCTATCTCTTGTTATGCTTATATGATACTAGAGTTTTCATAATAACATACAATTTATATTGATAGAGCATGATAAAAATGGTTCACCTCTAACCAGAATAGCTTCAATACTTATAAACATAATACTTCTTAATTTTACCATGCACACACCATGTAATGGACAAATTATACTGCCTTAGGTTTTAAATAGTCCTCAATGATTAAAGGATGCCACAGGAATAAAAATGTGGGCTGTAGAAAAATAATGAGTAGTATCACTTTCAAGATTTACTGAACAAGGTAACGCTATGCACATGTAACAGTGGAATGATTTAGCAAAATTCCCTGTTAGTCATATATCCTATGGGGTCACAATCACTTTTACTTAAAGGCTTAAATTTATATCTTTATACTTCAATAAAACATAGAATAGCTTACATTATACATAAAATTCTGAAAGTAATGCCAATATACTATACTGCTGCGTAAAGAAAAAATAAAAATCACTGGAATTAGTTAATGGATTACCCACTTAAGCCTTTAGAAAGTTTCAAGTAGCTTTCTTCCTCCAACCTCAAAATTGGCAAAAATATATAGTAGCAATATTATTTATTATAAATATCTCTTGAAATTATTGAGTAGTTAAGATATAGAGCTATTATGTTGTAGTTTTATATAGAGGCAGGAACATTATTAGATATCTGCAAGCATCTCCTCTCAACCACATAATAACACAGCAAGAGTATCAACAGAAGGCAAGATCCTAATTTCACAGCTAGAAAACTCAGCAAAACTATCGAGCCAAAGTACTTCAAGCAGCAGCAGAAAACAGAATACTGGTTTAAATGGACAAAGGGAACTGATGGTCATTCATGAAAAGATAAAGGGCACACAAAACATATGATGGTCATTTAAACAGCATTGCCATAAGCAGACACTGCTTTAACACCAAGAATACAATCAATGACAGAGGAACAAAAATAATGGAAAAAGCAATAAGGGCGGGGCAATTTTCCCTCAAGTGACCACAGTTATCCCCTCTTGAAAAAAAGTAAAGAAAATGACCTCTGGCAGAGATATATCTTGATGAATCCTTTCCAAAATACACAGGCACAGGAACCTCATATTTCAAAAACAAGGTGTGTGTGTATGTGTGCATGTCCATGTATACATCTCATGTTTGAGAAAGGAAGTGTGTGAAGCACAGAAAAATGGTGTTGTTCAAGGTCATTCTCCTCTTGAAAAAAAAGGAGAAAATGATCAAAAATTTGGGAAACAGGAGTCAAGTGACAACTTCTTTCCACCTGCCTATATGCTCACATCTGTTCCCATGAGTGTCCTGACACTACTACTATTCTGCCCCTCTTAATAGTGAACATAGGAGGGCTTATAGGGAAGGAAGAGATTTTGCTGGGAAATTTCCTATCAATACCTGACAGTCTTAACCCATTAGTGAGCCAGGCTGGCTCTACCTAAACACAATGCTTAACAAGGACAGTGGACTCGGATCTCTAAACTGGTTTGCACATCTATCTCTCCAGAAAAGGGAGAAGGAAAAGGAGGCGGGAATCTCTATTTCTTTAAAGAACTTCTATACATGAAACTCTATGCTAGCGGTTCTATTTGGTTATGACATTTCACCTAACCTCTGAGTATGAGGGTACAAGGACAAAACTAAACCTGCAAAAGCCTGAATCCTTAGTGAGAAAAGTCTAAAAGGAAGTGAAATAAGGAGAGAGACAGAGAAAACACATTATTTTCCCAAGTATTTATATTCTCCTCCAGCATTCCTTCTTTCCTGGGTACCCTCTAAACAGATATGCCTTATTTGCTAACAAATATTATGAGTATGATATATTTTTCTGTTGTAATAATATTCTAGAGAAATTTAGGGAGCAAAGAGGTGTCCTTGTCAGAATTTTAGTACACATCAGTTTTCTGTCTAGAATTTTCTGAGTGATAGGGGAAATACAAATAAATTCACTAAAAGAAAAGAGGGAAGGAAAAGAAAAGAAAAACAAAAGAAAAGAAAAAAAGAAGAGAAAAGAAAGGAAAAGATAAAAGAAAAGAAAGAAAAGAAAAGGAAAGAAAAGAAAAGAAAAGAAAAGAAAAGAAAAGAAAAGAAAAGAAAAGAAAAGAAAAATCCTCACTAATTCCTCTCAAAGTCCCAGGTATTTTCAGTTTTTATGCAAGCAGTATCCTTTTCTTTCTGAGTCTTCGGAAGGTAGCGTGGAGACCTGCTTTTCTGTTAAAGCCCAGTTATCCTCTATATCCTTTCTTGGTTCTCCCTAGAGCTCAAAGTTACAGAGTAAATCTGTCTTTAGAGTGGCCCTCATCTTTGTGTCTACTGGGTATGGGGTGAGGGGGTGGTGTAGTTGTCTTTCCATTGGTTTTCCAACTGGGGTAAAACAGGAGTATAAATGAGCTGATTAAATCCAGGAGAGCAAGAGGAGAGAGAAGAAAGACAGGAACAAATGGAAATCTAAGAAAAACACACTTCATTTCAGGTTTTGAATCCTGAAGAATCATACAGTATTTGAACATCAAGGCATTTTTGCTGCAAGCTTCATTCTGTATTCTTGAATATTCATTTACAAGGAGCGGGGTGAGGTTGCAGGTGCAGGACATCACTGCCCTCTGTGCACCTCTCTTTACCTCCTTCCTCTCATATCCAGGCAGCCACCTCGGCCATGATGCGCTTGCTGCCTGCCAGGGGGCTCGCTGAGCTCTTCTGCCCCGCCCCAAGCAAGTGTCAATGAGGGCCTGGCAGCTGCAGTGGAGGAGCCCAACCCCCAAGCTCCCTGCATACATGGCCTTGTAGCACCACCAGCCTGTGAGGGCTGCAGCAGCAGCCGAGCCCAGACTCCAGAGGAGTTAGGGACATAAAGAGAGAGTCACAAGCTAGAGGCCAGCTTGTAGTCTGCAAATGCCATCATATGGATATCTATAGAAATGCAGTGAGAGGAGAAATAGCAGGCAGTGCCCCTACACTTTCTAAGGGGCTTCAGCAAAGAGAAACCCTGGGAGCAGCCCCAGTCACTGTCTTGTGCTGGGCCAGGCCAAATCCTCTACTGGGTATAGCCAGCAGGCAGCTCTGGAGGGCGGGAGACAAACTAGCACTCTTTAGCTGAATTATTCTTCACTATGGAATAAAACATTGATGAGACTACTTTGGAAGTGCTTTATCTTGTTAATCCTAATGCCCTCAAGAAGGGAGTGAAATTTTCTGTATGAGACACGGAGGTGATGGGAAAAGGAAATGAGAAATAAGGTGCGAGGGTAAAGGGCTTTGGAAGTTCTCTGAATTTTGTTCTGCCTCAACTGGGCCATGGGAATCTCCATTTTAACATATCAGACCTAGTATGTTAATTAGGCAGTCAAAAATCCATCCTACTCCTTGTAAATCAAAGCACTGGCAAGGATTTTCAAAATACATATTACACAGAGACAGACAAACACCCCCGCACACACACACAATAAAAAAAGAAAAGAAAAGAAAAAAGAAAAATCTACCACACACAAACCCCTCTCTACAACTGAGACAATACATCGGGGTGTTGGGGTGGTGGTTATGGTTTTAGCCTGGCTCATCTAGATATAAAATTGACTTCTTTCATAGATCTATTTTGCTACATGAAAGCAAACCCTCACAATTAAACAGCATATCTCAACACACACACCGTGACAATGAATTCCCTTCTATGCAAAGCAAGTTCCAAGAAAACTCCATTTGGGGTTAAGTCTCCATAAGCGTAATTTACAACTACTAAAGGATGTGGCAAGCTCGTCCACATTAAGGAAGGAAAACAACCTGGCACCAGAGGTAGAGAATGGTCAAAAATGATCCTTGCCTGAAACGATGGGTGGAAATCAAACACCCTCTGGTAGTCCACAATCTGAGGAGGGCTGGATACCAAATGGTCCGTGGCAACCACAGCCTGAAGGAAATACTGGATTTTAATATCTGGCATCTTCAGACAGGTTCAACACGCCCAGCTTTCCAAAATAATCAGTTAGGGTGCAGCGTATCCATATTTCTTTAGCTTTCACTGCTAGATTAATTGCTCAGGTATAGATTTATATTCCACCTACTAGAAATTATATTACAACATCACAGAACGCCCTTGGATACTCAGCTCTTCCTAATGATTTCCAAAACATTAATAAGTAAAGTAGACTGCAATGCAGATAAGACACTAGAAACAAGATCAGATGGAAACTGGGTGAGGCAGATAGTCGTTTGCTTGTTACCTGGTGCCTCTAGAGGAAAAGACGGTCGTAGGAGGACTTTCTGCCCGCAGGTACAATCCCGGCAAGGTGGCTCCAGGTGGCTTTCACAGTCGTACGCGAGTCTCGCTCCTCACTTCTCTGCCCTTTGCCATAGCTCAGCACCTGCATCCTAGGAAGTCCGAGAGGCGTCTCCTGCCACTGCCGCCGCTGCCCGCAGGTCGCGCCGGGTGTGGAATCCACCGCGATTGCCCCATGAAACCCGCGTTTCTGCGCCCAGGGAGCGGGCAGAGGCAGGGCGGCCGCGCACACACACACAGACACACACTCAAAATCACGCACACTCACACACTCGCACCCGGGCGCGCGCGCACTCGCATTCACTCTTGCACACGCATACCCAGCATAGCACGGGGAGGGAGCAAGAAGGAGGGGACGGGTCCTTCTCAGGATCGGCTTCAATGCCCACCGGACCACGGGAAGGCAAGACAGTGGTCTGACATAGCCGGTTGATCACGTTTCCTTCAAGTTCTCTTCCAACCCAAATCCACGTAATTCAAGAGCTGGTGACATTTTGGTGGGGAAGAGAGAGCCAGGAAAGGGCTGAGAAAGAGTCGGGGATTTTGTTAAGCAGTTTTAAAAGCAATCCTTGTTACCTTGCTTTTGCAGAAACCAGAACCAGCTCGAAGGGCTGAACTTTTAGCTTCAAATGATGTGAACCGAAAAGTAAATATCCTTCTGGACAAGACAGGAAGGTCTGGATTGCACGAGACAGCTGCGGGACCCTCTGGTGACCTTGTGATGTACCTGAAAGCAGGCTAATACTAGCACTTTCCAAGCCTCTGGGTAAAGCGATCCACACACATAGGTCCACAGCAAAGCAGCCGCTCCGAATCCAGCAGGGGAAATGGGTCTGGGCGTCCTCCGCCCTCTTCGAGAACCCGGGCAACGAGGGACACCGCCGAGTTAACACATTTGCTTCTGGGTAGTTGGATAAAAGACAGTCAAATACATCAGAAAGGTTCGCGAGCTCACGCGCGCGCGCGCGCGCACGCACACGCGCACACACACACACACACACACACACACACACACACACAGTTAGTTGGATAGCGGCTTACAAAAAATAAATGCCAAGATGACTTCAAAAGGTAGAAAAGATCCAGAATCCTTCCGGATAACGGAAGGGCCAGCGAGAAGGTTATGAAGATCTTCCCATGTCTTTCATTGTTCCTCGCTCTTGTGAGTGTGAGTGTGAATGTGCATGTGCGTATTTCCAGAAGGTTTCATTTGTCTGCCCCACCCCCGTCCAGTTGCGCTTTTTTTCTCCTGATATAAACCGACCGTGCAAAATGGATTATGTTGGTGGGTTGTGCTCACAGCCAGAGCTTCACAAAGTCAAGAATTCCAAGGGAGTAGCCACCTGAGAAGCCCTTCACATCCCCGAGGGAAGAAGGAAAAACACGCGAAAACACGCACACACGCACGCACACACGGAGTCCTCAATTCGGGCCGCTCTGCACACGCTCACTGCGCCCTGCGCGCCGCTGCACACAACGCCCCGCCCGCTGCTAGCGCGCGAGTCACGGGCTCAGGCTCAGGGCTGGCAGTCTAGATTCCCCGCTGCGGCCGCGGCAGGCGGGCCGGTGCCCCCGGCTCCCCGCGGCGGCGCGTTCCGGCAACAGCAGCCGCCTGGCCCCGAGGAACTGCGCCCGGCGCCGCAGCATGGAGGCGGCAGCGGGCGCGCGGCCATGGGCCCAGCCCTCACCGCAGTGATGGGAGCCGCCGCGCCGCCCAGACTCGGAGAGTCAGGCGAGACCCCGGCCAGAGCCACCGCGCGGCGCGCAGCCCTCTGCCCGCGCTCCCCGGAGCCGGGTGTGTTCGGACAGATTTACCCCAGGCTCTCGTAGAGCACCCGCGCAGCGCCGGCAAATCCCTACGCTGGGAGGCGCGGGGGCGTTGCAGGCAGGGAGAAAGGAGAAGGCAGAAAACCTGCGGGAAGGAGGCGAACTTCCAGGCGGGTCCCCGGCCCCATGCGAAGAGGTGACTTGCTGACCGCCCACTGCCCCGCGATTACGGGATAAAGGAGTGCCACCGGGTCAGCCAGCAACTGCTAATGGCCGTGGAAAGAGTCGTTAGCTATGACCCATCGGAAAAATTCTGAGACCAAGGGCTACTGACGAGATTGTGGTCACCTGCAACGGGCTTCCAGTGTTCCCTTAGTAGTAGGTGGTAGGTTTGCTTACAAATCAGATGGAAGTGGACGCGGAAAGGAACATTTAGATTTGAGAATCAACTGAGCTTAGCATCAGACATTATCAGTGCTGCAGCTGGCCACATTTTAGTATCTCAAGGGCAGAGAGCAAGCCAAATAGTCGTCATGAGCCAGGCCCGGTCACTAAGGTCACTAGGATAGGGAACGAGTCTGCATTAAGAAAGATTAGCAGGGTGGTTGGAAGGCTAGACAGGGCCCCACGGGGAGGGGTCGGCTTTTCTCGAGTCTCTGCCACAACTCTCGGAGCTTCTCTTCTTGACCCCACCCTCGCTCCCTCCAGCTGGGAAAGGGGTTTCTCCCGGGAACCCCGAGTGAATGACGCCGTTCCATTCTGCTGGAGCCAGGAAACCCTTTCAACAACACGTGGTCTTCGGCCCCAGCGAGCACCTCCCCTCTCAGCTCCGATCCCGGCTGCCTGGACACTAGTCTGAATACAAAGAGATAGGAAGACTTGGTTGCTGAGGGAAGCTGGCTAATAAGGGCCTTTTCCTGGCCGACTTGGCAAAGCCACGTGCTAGTGGTCTCCTTGGATAGGGCGCTCTCGCGTTTTGCTACCAATAGATCTCTCCCAGGCTTTAGCGTTGTCCTGCGGAGGCACACATGCTCACACTCGAGCACACCCACGGGTTCACTCAAGTGCGTACACGTGCACCCTCCCCTAAGCAGGACCCACGCAGCCGCCTCTTTCAGGAAGGAACCCAAGTGGGTGAAGTGCTTGAGGTGAAAACTGCTCGTATCTCTTCCTTTGTCTCTTCTGCTCCCCGCTCTATCCCCCTCCAGGCCCCAGGTCCAAGCCCGGGTTTAGCAATCCCCTCAACCCTTAGGGCCGCTTTGTTTCCGAGGAGCGCTACTCTGGGGCTGCAGTTCCCGCCTAGCCTCCGCGCGCTCCAAGTCGGCGGACCGCGCAAGTTCAGGGCTCTGGGGAAAGCTCTACCGCGCCCGGCGGCGCGTGCCGATCCAGTTCGCGTGGAGGGCTGGAGTCAAACTCGAGCAGCAGGGAGCTGTGTGATGAAACCTCACAAAAGAAAACCAAAGGGACACCTTGAACAAATACATCAGCGGACACCTCTGCAGTCCAGGAGTGTCTACTAAAAACATCAACGGTGCCCGTGTGGCTATTTGTCTCCAGAAGTGAAAAAATGGGGTTTCCGATAAGTCCACGGCGAGAACCGCAGCAAACTGAGTCCAGAGACTCCCCGAGGAACAGGAAGAGGGAATGCTTCCATCTTCGTTTCAGTTTAAACTTAGTGACTTCTGGGACTTCACAGGAGGGCGGCGGAGTTGCACCAGCACGGACTAGAAGCAGATGCTAGAGAGCACTGCCAAATACTTGAGGACGCGGGGGTGACTCCTTCTCCTTCAAGAATGTCCCACTTGCTCCCCTTCCCTGCTGAGGTGATAGGAATCGCTCACCTCCAGGAGATAAAGGTTTGCAGTTCCCCCTCGGGACCAAAATATGGAGAGATGTTGAATGAGAAATTCAAAGACCTTGCATCACTGGACTAAATAACATTTTTGTTTTTCATTTTTTGTTTTGTGTTGTTGTTGTTGTTTTTGTTTGTTTTTCTAGTGCCCGGATATAGGTGAGGAGGAGGCACACTGAACCATTTGTAATAAATCCCAAATTCGGGACAGGGCAAAGTTCCACTGTCTTCCTGGGTGTGTGTGTGTGTGTGTGTGTTGTTCTTTTGTTGTTGTTGTTTGCGTGAGAAAGATGAAATCCACGTCTCCTTAATATTGAGAGTAGTAATGTGTAACTTTTCAATGTTCTTTTAGCTTGCAAGACCGACCAAGCTCTTAAAATCATCTCTTCATTGTTTAGCCTTCCTATATATTATGCACTACATTTGAAAAGTGCTTTCCTCTACTTTCTCATTTCATCTCACCTCTAGAAAACACTCTCTGGTAAAGACATGTACCTCTCTCACTGCAAGATACAGTCTGCATTTGTTCCTTTCCTTCCTATACAAGCTGATTAGAGTTTGCCAAGGAAAGGAAGAAGAGAGCTGTGTTATATGCTTGTAGGTAGAAGGTGGCAAGGCATTCAAGGAAAGGCTAAGAAATTCTTTTCCAAAGGGTAACAAAGGGTAATTTTTATTATTTCCTCCAGAGGAAAAAAGACCTCTGAAAACAAGAGAGATTGCAATTTCTAGTTTATCTATATAATCATTATTACCATTAACTAACTTTGAAATTGGTATACTTTTAAGAGTCCAAATTTTTGTAAAGTCCTTTTACACATTAGCATCTAAAAAGAACTAAAGCTATTTCAAACAATAATTTAGTTTTTACTTTTCTCAATATATCTGCCTTGACTTTTTAAATTTATCCCCCAATCGAATGTTTATGCCAAATCACCTTTAAAATTATGTCGACCTTCTCTCTCTCCTGATCATTTAGGGTCATAAATGTTGAACTGTTTTCTCAGAATAATCCAGAATTTGAAAAAAGTTGAGTGTTTCCTGATTTCAGACAATAAATGGAAATATGAATGTTTCGTGGTTAAAATGATGAATACCAAAAGGTAATCTGAGCTTCTGGTTATGTTATTATTTAGCATTTGAATTTCTTCCAGGCAATGAGAAAGGCAAGATCTACTGTATTTTAAAATTGTCATTAACAATTCATTTGCTTACTCCATGAACTTTCTTATTTCTGTGGATTGAAGTGTGTGATAAAAATATCACTTTAATTAATTGTTTTGTTTGATGTACACTTTAAGAAGCTTATTTATACTGGAATTATTTCCAAATTGCCTGAGTGGCAAATTACTATTGTAAAGAGCTTCTGATTCTTTTTACTAATGTAAAGTTCTCCGTTAATTCAAGACTGGAAAGTGATATGAAGAAGCAATAGGGAAATTCATTATCCTGAAATGAAAGAATAACATAAAAAACACACACACACACAATTAAAATAGAATAAATGAAATCCAAACATCAAGATTTTTTAAGATCACTATCATAATTATGCTCTACATAGTTTTGAAATATGAAAGGAGATCTGCTTATCTTAAAAATATATTTTGGATGTTGTACCTGACTATTCAGTCCTAAGGTTCAAATTGTTTTGGCAATTAGATCTTACCAAAAACATGATTCAAGCAAACTTTAAACAGCCTCGAAGACCCAGCATATTTCTACCAGAAGTAAACAGATATCTCATTTATCCTTTCTGGACCTTCCAATGATTCAAATATATTTACTATTTAGCATTCTTCTGAGTTACAGAAGATACTTTTCCCTTTATTTTATTTTTAAATGAAAATAAAACTTTTATTGTTTTATGAAGTTTCTACTTGATCTTGTGTAAAACATTCGTTTACTCTCTCCTATATCTTTGTGATATTTTTTAACTTTATGGATCATAATAATGGGGTACTATGTAATTTAATGTCTACCTTAGGAAAGTTGGAACTAGCACTAAGAACCCAATAAATTAATACATAGAAGTGGTCATTTCTTTTACTAAGCAAAATAATTTTGAACTTTAATTTTTTAAACATAAATAATGATTTTTAAAGACAATGTCCTTGGATGAACTTTTTGAGAGAGCACAAAGAGAAGGGGTTATTATAGAGATAAACACTGCTGGACAGACAAGGCAATTTTTAGGCAATATTGTGAGTAAGAAGTGAATTTTATCTTTAATATATTCCTGGCTTATTTGCTTACATCCTGTTATCAACTCCCCGCATCCGTCTGGTACTTCCATTTACTTACCCAATAGCCCTAC